ACAGTCAACGCGCTTCGAAATGTATTTACTTGTGATACTTCACTTTGACTCTGCCCTAGGGGAGGGGGTGTTCCCTTATATCGGCTATATAGGTATGTCCAGCGTCAGACGGACTTGTTTTTTTAAGACCGTGATTTTAGTCAGAAGTAGAGTATCGATTTTGGTCATTTTGGTCTCAAACTGGGTATGGTTTTTGCACTCTAGTCTTCAATTAGGTATGTTTTTTAGAAGAAGCTACTTTTTTCATCATTATCGATAAGACCAGCAACTAAAGCCATTCACATTACCTTTAACATCATTCTGAACTAGAGAACTACGGAAGGTCTGAAACAGGGTATTAATTTAAGGGTCAGGCCATAAATAGGTTAGAAAAATCGCAGACTTTGGTCTTAAATAGAGTAAGTGCTTTGGGAAGCGGGCCGCACAGCCTCGCCAAATGTTTCAGAAATTCAAAGTATTGTGTGTGAGACTAAATAAAGGTAAGAGGCGTAAGCATTTGACGCATAATTTTTCCATTTCTGTGCCGGGCAGTCCTTGATTCGAATGGATGCGGTACTCTACGTTTCGTTGTCAGTGACGTAGTATATTTTTCTTTTCAAAAAGGAAGCTTCATCTGTGACGACAGTTGTGCAATTATTCCTCCACTTTCGCTTTAATACTGACGCTAAAATACAAATGCTATCGGTGTTTTCATGGAAACCAGCTCTTGAAATGTGGCGGTATGTCGAAATACCAATTTTCTTATTTTTAAAAGTGCGCTCTAAGTAGTAAAGCTACTTGAATTGTGGCGGAAAATTCGAGAAATTCAACTAAATCTGGAAAATGTCGACACCTACGATATGAAGAAAACCTCATAAAAAAGCCATATTGTGCCTATTTTGCAACATACCAACGTTAATTAAATTACAATAAGATGAATTGGTTACCTTCCACAGTATATCGTATCTGTAATATCGTCCAAACGCTCCAAGTGCGTGTTCTTTTCCCGTAAACAGTCACAGAAAACAGAAAAGGGGCGGGATTGTTATTCCTGAGAAGTGTTCTGCATGATTGACCAAAATTATGTCGCCGTTCACATTTAAATCAAGCACGGAAACAGACATCTTCGTTTCTCTAGAATACATCGTTTCAGTAAGACTTAGGAACATTTAAGTCGCCAATTATTTCTACTTGCATGACATCTTAATTTCCGTTTCTTTCCGTGCCACGAAATAAAATTTAGTTTCGACAAGTTATTTTTGTTGAACATGTTTATCTTGTGAATTACAAGCGTTTACCCTGATGACATTCATACTCACTATGTCAATAAATCACTCTGAAACGGAAAACAGTACCATTTCTTTGTTGAACTAAACAAAACTAACTGCTTCCATCGGCTTAAAATATCGCATTGGTGGACAAATCGCGTGGTGTGGCGGTGTCTCTACTTCGAATATATAATTTTTTTTCACTATCACTATCAACTCCAGTTCGCAGTTTTCTTGTGTAAGATAATACCGAGAAACGAGAGTTTCCCTGAAATGTTGCAAATGCACCGAGTTTTGGCTGAAATCTTGCCGCCGTATTTACATTAACAATTACGAACTTTACTCTGATTGGATATTACCACCACTATGTTAGTAGTTCACCCCTGAACTGAAAACAATACCGTTTTGTTTCTGAGGAAACGAAACAAGTTATTTTTGTTGAACATGTTTACCTTGTGAATTACAAGCGTAGTCAAAACTATAACAAAAGTCTCGAACGTGATTGGCTATCAGCAGCCCGATTTGAGCATTAATTGGACAGTGTACGCGTCATGCTTGTAATTGGACAGTACGCGTCATTTTGCGCGCGAAGTTGCGATGTACTTTGTTGANGAGTAAACTGCTGTGTTTTTCAGCATTCATAACGACGTTTAATCGTTCAGCGATCAATCGATGGTTTGTTAGTTTCTCGAATTTTGTCATAGTTTTGATTAATTGGTAACAGGACTTCGCGTCGTCCAATTCGGTCTGTCATCATACTCGTGATTAACAAATCGGACACCCGCTTCGCGGCAGTCCGATTTTGTTAATCACTCGTATGATTACAGACCGAATTGGACTCCACTCAGTCCTATTACCATGATTAACTGGCTGATAACATTCGCACTCACAATGTCAATAAATCACTCTGAAACGGAAAACAGTACCATTTCTTCGTTGAACTAAACAAAACGAACTGCATTCATCGGTTTAAAATATCGCATTCGTGGACAAATCGCATGGTCTGGCGGTCTCTCTACTTCCAAAATAAACTTCCTTTTCACTACTACTATCCGAATAGAAGTCCGGTGTGTAGTTTTCTTGTGTATTTTAACAACGAGAAACGAGAGTTTCAGTCGTAATTCCCCATTTTCGAATAAAGCAGCAATTGAAATGTTCAGAACGCCACATTTTGTTGCGATAACCGAATTTCCACCGTATTTACATTAACAATAGACAGTTAAAGCATGACGTCTACGGCAGACGGCAAACGACAAAGATTACCTCTGATTTTTTATTCTTTTCGTCTAATCCTTAAATAAACCACACAGAAATAGAAACATGTCACCTACCATTCACTGCAAATACAAATATTTTTACTCTACTGTACAGACAGCTGAAGATTCATTTTTGCCGTTTGCCCTGGCCGTTTGCCATTTGACGTAACGTCATGCTTAATCTCAGTAATTATGAACTTTACTCTGATTGCATATTACAGTTCACTATGTAAATAGTTCACCCCTGAACTGAAAACAATACCGTTTCGTTTCTGAGGAAACGAAACAAAAACTGTTTACTGACGCAGTGATGTCATATTGACAGATATAAGCCAACTTTTCCATGACTTGAATTAATAAAACCTTTTGCAGAGTTTACGTCACCACTGCATGATGTACGCCCTAAAAATTGAGATAAACACTTTCCCCGACCCACAATTGAACCGAAAATTTTGACACACAATTAACCTGAGTTGTCTGAGCTGACAGTTACAAGCTGATATGAACATAGGCTCGATTTCCGCCGCTTGTTTCTAAAAACGAGTGAGACAATCTCAGATAGTGCAGAGTGTAATTTACGGCTCTGATGCAGTAGTCACACAGGTCCTCACCCCTGCTGTTCTCTCCCTCGGTAGTCAACTAGGCCATTTCTCCTTTGCAGAATATGAGCGGACAAAAACTTGATAAGACATAATCTTAGCAGTGTGTGTGTTTCATGTTTGTGTTTTGCCCAAAAATAACTTACAATTACCGTTTGTCAAGACGATTTTAAATTTGGCAAACACACAATAGTTATAAAACAGCAGAAGACATTTCTTGAAAAAGGAGAAAAAAAGGAGAACTGACGTTACCTGAAATATAACTACTATCCCCAGCCAAAACGAGAGTGTGATATCACTCGTTACAAAAAAAAAAAACAAAAAAAAAACGTGCATCTGAACTCGAGAACGGAGTTTATCACTCTAGCAATGCTAGAACGCATGCGTCTTACATGTTATGCTCTACAACAAGGGAAAACACTCAACGTTCGTGGATAGTCCCGTGTGAACTGTATCTTTCACCTAACATATAGTCGACTTTAACGCTAACTAATCTGCGCATGCGTTTGGAGCAAATTGCTTTTGTTCTTGAGAGAATGGCACCACAAGGATGGCGTGGGATTTGCAAAACCATATATACATTTTTATCATGTTATCAAGGAAAGAAATGTAAATATGACAAGTTTTGCGTAATGCACTCGGGTACCTACTCCACCCAGCCCGCCTTCCCGCCAAGCTAATTGATTAATTGGAATTAACTAATTAAACAAACATTAAAGTTTACACCTCATGGCGTTAGTGTGTTAGTTGATTAGTGCCTTAGCGAAGTGCACCCTCCTAACCCATCCCAATAGTGCACTCTGCACTAAAAACCACCTCCATAGATCAATTTCTCGTGTTGAATTTGGTAAATATGCTAATTTTAAGAATTTGTTTCAAACTCATGAAACAAACTTGCCAATTTTAGCAAAGGAAGATGTGAATTCAACATGTACTTGGAATTGACCAATTTATAGAACACAGCTGATGATTTTAAATGAATTGTGTTTAAATTAATTACCATTTATTTTTTATCATTAATTTTAAAGCTAAAAACCCATAACATGACGATTTTGTTTTCTCTCAGCCTTCACCTTTGGTGTCAGATTCTCCATGTGTGATTTAGATGGTGTATTTTGTTCCTGAGGTGAACTTTCATGAACAATGTTACTGTTACTGATAGATGTAGATGACCTTACATTCTCTGAAAGGAGTGTCTTCCATGGTTCTACAGTTTTCCCCTGAATATCAGGCTGATTTTCTGTTTCTTGGTCACCTGATAAAAACACAGCTATCGGTGTATTGCTATTCCAGTTTACCCAAAGACTTTTACTAAGAGGATCTGTAGCTTTCTTCAAGTCTGGAAAAATCCCAAGGTCTTCCACATGATACTGAAGGCACAAACTGCTTCTTGTAAGAACTCCTTTGCTTTGTTGATTTTTTGCAAGGTTGGCACTGTAACATATTTGCACACCACACCTTTGGCATACATCTGATTCTGGCTTTGCTTGGTCCAGCTCTGTGTTTTCCAAATCTTGTCTATTATTGCATAACACACAACAGGAATGAGATTCTAGCAAAGACTTCAAATTCTGACAAAGCACTTTCTTATCAGTTTCTACATACTCAACTTGGACTGGAGCAGTTTTCAAAAAGTTATCCTTGTGAAGATCAGCTGTAGTGATCCATTTTTGACAAAACATCTTAGCCTCAGGACTAAGTTCATTACTCCTCCATGTACCACTCTCTTTATCCCAGAAATGCCTTCCTCCCAAATCTTTGTCATCTTGTGGTGAGACAAATGGCTGGTAAAACAAGTCCCCAGTAGATGACATTTGAAACACAGTAAAACCCTTTTGCGGATGAGAGGTGTGAGGCATGGTGCAGACACCTATGAGTGGTTGCGAAAGCCTTGAAGCAGATACTGGTGAGAATGTGAGGTCACTGCTAAGTCCTGTGTAATACCACTCATTATAGGATGACACCTGCAACAACAAAAACAACAAAATAGTTTCTTTAAAATCTCTGATTATTGAAAATCTGCAGGTAAAAGTACTATTTTTAGTAGTAATGTCACAGTCATAAAGTAATTTTTGTCTAGGTGATTCCTCTAATAAATTATATTAGATAATAATATAATTTAACTAATAATGTACAGTCCTAAGAAAATATGTGTGCTGATTGGTTAAAAATCGTGTTTCTATAACTTTGTGGAAACACAGAACTAGCATGAGCTGTTGACGTAATGATGGCACGAGCAAAGAGAATTTACATTTTGGTAATCAAAGTTAACAAGTTGTTTTCCTTTTCTTCGTCACAGTGTTTTCTAAAAGAAATAGAAAACATGTTCTGTGTTTCTATCGAGTTATAGAAACACTCGTGAAAGTTTGGGAGAATTCAAAAAAGCTGTGGAAACACTCGCCACAGCATTTCTCACTCTCCCAAACTTCCACTCGTGTTTCTATAACTCGATAGAAACAGGGTACATGTTTCCTATTTCTTAAATAGTGTTGCAGTACCACATAGTGAATAAGATCATCACTGAAAATGTTTTTAAGCATGCACCAACTTTGAAGAATTATGTACAGTCTGTTCATGCAACCAGTGGTCACTACTTATGGGAGAGTTTTTGAAATGCTAGTTGACTGAGAGAAAAAAAGGTTACTGGCATTTACAAAGTGGTCATTAAAGGGAAGTGGTTGTTGAGAGAGAGTTGGCTGTTGTATAATTTAAATTTCAAATTAATTTGCTCTATTTTGTGAAATCCAGAATATAATCAACTCAGTTGAATGGTAATTTACTTGTAAATAGAGTCAACAACTCAGAGCGTTTTGTAAACATTCAGACATCCCATCTGCGTGGTAGTGTTATTTCAGTCAGCATTGGGCTGTCAAAGGGATTTCATCACTCGAACACTATCACGTAAGAGACATTGTCTTAAAGTGTATGTGACACAATTTTTTTTCCGCTGATTCTGCTCGTTAATAATGATGGAAAAACGGTGGTAAAATTTTTAGATCGTGAGAATATTTTGAAACCCCTGTTTTTTTGTTCGAAATACGCGCTACTTTCATGTTGAAATTGTCCCAGAGATCGTGCAGCCAAAATGTCACATGATTTACGTCCATGACGTCACTGTGTTTGATAAACAAACCAATATAGCTGAAAGCAAAGGGAAACGTTTGAAGCATGGGGGTCGATATTGCGTGGCAAATCACTTGCACATTTGAAGCCACGTGCAAGAGAAATGACAAGGCGGCTTCCCGTGACAGCAATGTTATCAAACACTGTGACATCACAAACAAAATTTTCATCCTCAGTTTCCCGGGACACTTTTATAGGGAAATTGGCTGTATTTCGGCTGCAAAAAAATCATCCAAATTATTATTTTTTTGCACTTTCAAAACATTATTCATTCATTACTTAATTATATCAAGGAAGGAAAATACTTAAAAAGTTTTTTTGTGTCACATACACTTTAAGTGCACAGAACTGCTCTTTAGTTAACTTGGCAACATAAAACTGCATACCTTTATGTCACGTTCCTTGCCGTAACTGATAGGAATGCACAGCTAGCATTGTGTAATAGATACAAAGCTATGTATTATCAGGCCCATATCTGTAGCTGCATGTCCCTTTGTTCGTATAGCTCAAACTTGCTGTGAGCCGAACTATATTTATATTATCTGTGTCAGCTTTCCCACCTCACCCTTCCCCTATTCAATAAAGTTGGACTACAGGCTTGGGTGCACACCAGCTACTTAGTGGCGCACATAGCAGGCTGGGTGGGACCCTTACCCCACCTTAGCTTTTAGTTACTAGCCGGGTGTAGCATGCGCAACACTCGCTGGCTCATCCCCTAGTATTATTGCTAGCACCAGGTGTGGCATGCACCAAACTTGTCAGCTCATCCATCACCTGCAGGGTGTGTTGCTGCCACCCCTTTTACCATTTCTTTGCAGGGTGTGTTGCTGCCACCCTTAATTTATTCCCAGGGAGCACCCAACAACCGTAGTCCCATTTACTGCCAAACAATTGTGTAGTTCCTTGTGTGCAGTAGTACTTAACAAGCAAAGAAAGTTGTGAAAGTCTCTTCTTATTGTGTCATCAGCTATAAACTTTGCTCAAAGCTTTTACCGGACTGTCAAGTAAGCAACTTACCTTCCATGGGAGAGATGTTGACTGAGGTGGTAAACACTGTTGTTCCGTAGTAGGAGGGAATGACCCTCTTACTCGTACTTGGCTATCAGAATACTGAAAGCAGTGCGTCTGTCGATGATATGAGCCAGATACAACCAAGACTGTGTCACTACATTCAGGGATTACATTGTAAGCCACATTAATGAACTGAACTGGATCTTCATTATGATGTCTCCACTTTAGGACTGGGTGATGAAGAAATCGATCATCTAAAATCATGAGTGACTGATCCGTGCCTAATATATAGTGATGGGTATTTTGAGGGTGACGCTGAATGGCAGATATACATTCAAAGGAGTCAACTTCACTTGATGAGATGGAGAAGAATAATCTTTGGAATAACCTTTTAACCTGTACAATAACAATGAATGGCATTGTGGTGAGAGGTGTTTAGTGTTGCTTGACATGAGGCACATGAACTTTGACTGAAATTTTCAGCAAGTAGCTTCCCATAGATTTTAGACCTCAATTGCATGTGAGAGTTGCTGTGGCAAAGGACTAACTTTGTGTTGAGTTGAACAGAATAAAATACGTCTGAAACATTGAAAATCTACCAAGTTTCAAGTCAGTATTTTTTCACCAGGGATCCATATTCGCAGTCACCTGGTCATCTGTGACAACTAAAAAATCATAGGAACAACGAAAACAATAAGGAAACTTGTCCGCTGGACGACTTTAGTTTGACACTACTAGAAAAAAAAGAACAGTTCTTGAATTTTCTTACGAGTTCCCTACACTCTGACCACTTGTTATCTATTTGGACCTTGTAGAAAACAGCAAAAGATTTGCAGCTTTCTTTTGCGATAAAATCATCATTTTAGTCCGCCATCTTGAATGATCTGATGAATGAAATCATGACAGGCTCAATTTTCATTTTGTCAACTGCTGATGCCCTGTACTGCATCTGCATCCACGGAAAAACGTGGTGCGATCGCATCAACTGTTTTGGTCATTTTGATCAGGATGCCGTGTTAAGTAATGTTGACTCTTTGGAAAAACAAGCCAGATACAAGCAGGAAGAGCAAAAGCGTTCCTTTCAGCCTACATGGCAGTTGAAGAGGCCTTGGTTTTCATTTGCACCTAGTTTATCTGTGTTGGCTGACAGCTGCAACTACGGACATGATGTACTGGGAAACTGGTAACGTGAAAATACGAAAAAAGTAAACTTTCCATTTACATGCTGTTCTATTACAACCCCTACGATTTCACGGTAATGATTGTTTCCAGTAATGTGTCGTTGCTGTGATTCAGAAATAATGGAACCAAAAAACTGTTTGTCATGGACATCTTCAGCCTTGCTGAACAAAATCTATTTGATAAAAAAGTTTTTTTTTCTTTTCTAATTCTCAACAAAAAGATTAGCACTCCAATTATATATGAAACTAAAATGTTGTTTCGCCATATTGTATCCATCCCAAAGTGCATCACATGGTATGTGAATGGGCAAGTATGTCATCTGGCATACTTGCCCAGCTGACGACTTGGAGAAAAAACCAATATGGATCCCTGTTTCACATTACAGTTGTCATCAACTACAGACAGTGACTAAAAAAAACTATTGAAAAAGTCCATAACCTTCAAAATGAAGGAGACATGCATGATGTTCTGAAGGTTAATGTACTGGCTCTAGAAGAAGTACATTTAAATTTGCAATTCAAATCAAACCTATACCATTACTGAGGTTATGTATGTTGCTGTGTAAGTAATGCATAGTAGAATTACAACTGTTTCTTTTATTTGTTTTGTATCATTAAATAAATTAAAAAAATAAAAAATAAATAAAATCAAGACAAAATACTTGCAGAAAGAGCATTCAAAGACTCAAGTTCTTTAAGATGGCATCTATATCAGGCAAATGGCAAATGGCAAATGTACTAGGCAAAGATAAAATGTACCAGGCAAAGATAAAAAACAGTACCACTACTAATACATTGTGAAAAGAGAACAAGAAATAGGTTAGGTTCAAATTACTTACTCTGAAATCCAACAAATCCATTTCTTTGCCATCTGCCATTGCAACGCATCGAGGATTTGCAGCAAAGACACACTGGTACCATGGAAAAACATTACTCATAACATGGTTAGGTTGATGCACAGTCCTTAGTGAGTGCTCACATGACCAAAGATACACTCTGCCATTTTCTGTCACAGTGATGGCTTCTCCTGGGATATATGGGCTTACAGTAATGCACATGGCTTGCTTAGTGAGAGCTAATGTCTGAAGAGGCTTTAAGGAGATCTAAGAAGAAACAATGAATTCCTTCATACAATAAATTTTTTATCATAAATGGAATGATGGGACATAGGGCTGCAATAAGAATTTTTTCACAGATACTATGTCTACCTTGATACACTGGCCATGATAAGATTCATGATATAATGTGCAACAACTCTTGGACAAGCTACCAACAACAATTTGCCAATTTCTGCATGCTTTGCCCTCTGGATATCAGCCTTGTCACTGAATGGGCCACCCTGGCTAAATAAAGTTTACCTTTACCTTTACTTTGTTTGAGGATATTCAAGGTTGTAGAGCTAAAACCAAAGCATGTGTTTTGGTATAATTATTATAATTATACCAAAGCAAATGCTTTGGTTTTAGTTCTACAACCTTGAACATCCTCAAACAAAGTAGCAAAGCATGCAGAAATTGGCAAATTGTTGTTGGTAGCTTGTCTGAGTAGTTTGCAGTCATCCAAAGCCATCTTGAAGAAATCAAGTAAGATAAAAACAAGCAAAGAAGTGTAGGCTGTTTGTTGTTTTATAATGAATTGTGGTAATTATATCATAAAATATAACACATTCTTGGCTTCTAATAATAATAATAACAATAATAATAATAGTAATAATAGTAATAAGTATATGTAATCATACAGTTTTAACTTCAATTTGGAATTAATTGCATGAGTGAGTTTTTCAAAAAGCTGAAATTGCACGAGCCGCTTCGGTGAGTGCAATTTCACCAGAGTGTTTTTTCACAGTGTCTTACACAGCTTAAGCTTCTTCATTTGCTTTATGATATAGAGGTAATGTGACGAAAAACAATAAAACATGCTTTTTCTATATTTTACACTCTGATAAAACATGGGTTTTTGACCAATCAGAGCGTGCACAGGGTCCTATTATATTATAAACAGTAATAATGAGGACTTGTTACAGTTATTAAGGAAGGAAAATTTCTGCACTTGTTGATATCATCAGTTTTTATTGTGTTGTTAGTTATATGATGATAAAGAAGATATTGAGAAGCATTTTAAAAGAAATAAATGCTAGCATATAATGTTTTGACATCATCTTGCTTGCTTGTCCTGCAGTAGACTTTACTTTTCCCAATGTAATATGCCCCTGTAAATATAAACAAGTCACTGAATTGCAAAACCTTTTCCTGCTTGCTTATAGCCTTCCTGTGGACTTCGTTGTAACAAGACTCATAAATTGACACATAAACTATCAAAATCTTGATACCTTTGGAGGACTGTATTCAGAAAACAATAGCTTCAGGGTAGGCTCTCAGTTTCTCATCCCTCGTGGCTTCACCTTTGCTTGTGCCACAGTGCATGGGAGTTTCATGGATAATCCGCTCATCTCTGGATCAGGTGCTCTGAGTGAGAGCCCTGGCCAGGGACATTATGTTGTGATCTTGGACAAGAGAGTTTACTCTAACAGTGCCTCTCTCCACCCATGTGTTGTTATATAAATGGGTACCAGCTAATGTAATGCTGAAGGGTAACTCTGCTATGGACTAGCTTCCCATTCAAGAGGAAATAGGAATACTCCTAGTCACTTTGTGCTACATAGAAACTGGAGATAAGTGCCAGCCTGATGGGCTACTTGGCTTGCATGCAGACTTTCCCTTTACATAACCTGGAGGTGTACTTACCTTATCTCCTTCTCCAGATGCACTTGGACAGCTTTGGAAGAATGAGCAATGGTACTGTGATCTGATTCCCACAATAATGTTGCTACGACTGTATGAAGCAAAGTCAATCTGTTTTATCCTGTCTTGAACTACAAACTGCTGTTTCGAAAGCTCTGGCTTTAAAGGTGATGGATTGTATTTGGCATTTTCAAAATCTATGGACTCACAACACTGTGAGATGCATGAAAAGTTAAAAACCTCTAATCCAGAGCCACTTGGATACATCAAAAGGCCCTGGTGGTCTGTTCCTAAGGAGTTACAAGCCAAACTATTCCCCAAGAAAGTGTCATATTGGAATCTTGGGATTTCCAAGGCGTGGCTTTCTTGGAAGAGATTGTATAACAACACAGGAGAGATATCTGGTAAGGCACTGCTTAAATGCTTCACTACTTGGGCTGCGTTACTATTCTGGCTTTTGCGCGCCTGGCGAAAATTAGAGCACAGTTTGCATGAAGACCAGCATGAAGTCTCTTTCTGCTTCCACGGCATCGAGGAATTGGACTTGAACAAATCACAACTTTTCCAAGAGTGACAGATCATGTCATCATGTATAAGTTCTGCAATAGATGAGTACATGATATCAGGCCGATCGGCCGAAAAGTTCTCCACATGCACACCACACTTTCCGCCACTGATTTGCTCTTTACAGGAACGTCGAAGAAATTGATAATCATTTAAAGTTTCCTCCGGAACGGACGAAGAACGCTGGTTGGGCTCCAGGAAGGGTAAACTTAGTTGGTTTGCGGCTAGTCGTTGTAACTGCGAGTCGTCAGACTGATTGGAATGCAAAAGCAGCTTTTGAGCCTGATCTTCCATGTCTATGTTTAACGTTGAGGGACTACCATAGTCAACAAAAGACTGAGAAACATTCTCTTCACCACAGAAAGGAAAGTTATATCCTTGAAATGCGTTGGACCATGCCGCCATTTTGGTCTCCATTCTCGTCCCCATTAGCCCTTTTCGCTTCTCTTAGCCGGCGGGGCCTTGGCACGAGAAGGAAGGCTCTCTTTAGCGTTGCACTTTCGTCCTGCGTGGCAGACATGTCTGATACCTTTTGACCAATTGTATGTGTTGTTGTTTCTTCCAATGAAAATGCGTTGTGACCGTGTCCTCTGAGGTTATTTTACTAGGGGACGGGACGGTGTTTGTCAGGTGAAAGCTCGAAACTTATCGATTGTGACTTTTATC